ACACCTGTAATCCCAGCACTTTGGGAGGCCCGGGGCGGGCGGATCACGAGGTCAGGAGATCGAGACCATCCTGGCTAACATGGTGAAAATCCCTCTCTACTAAAAATACAAAAAAATTAGCTGGGAGTGGTGGCGGGCACCTGTTGTCCCAGATACTCGGAGGCTGAGGCAGGAGAGTGGTGTGAACCCAGGAGGTGGAGCTTGCAGTGAGCCAAGATCGCGCCACTGCACTCCAGCCTGGGTGACGGAGTGAGACTCCGTCTCAAAAACAACAACAACAACAACAACAACAACCAGAAAATCAGGCCATTCAGTGTCTCTCATGGTACTCCTCAGTTGCCAATATAACATGTCTGAATCAATTTGCATTTGTAGCAGTTACATTCATGGTCACTCACTATATAAAAGCAACTGAATAGTTCATTATATCTCAGAGTTAGCCTAGACACATTAAAATGCATGCATAGTATTTTATTACAAATGACTATCCTTTTATTTCTTCTTGATATTACAATTAGGGCATGATGTTGATTTTTAAAATATGCATGTAGGTTCAGCTATAAATTTTATTTTGGGAAAATAAATAGAGCACTAAAAAATACTGGTTATAAGACTTTGCTATAATAAAAGTACATTGGGTCTGATATACAGGAGGAGGCTGATGGAGTAGACTTTCCCAAACCTGGCGCTTAATTTGTCCTCTAACTCACCTTAACGATGTTACCTAAAATACCACGGATAATCAGACAAACCTTCTTCCAGATGAACAAGATGAAGGAGGGAATTAAATAAGAGGAAGAAGAGGGAAGGTATTCTATTTCATTAGTACTTGGCCAAGGAAGTTACCAGTAATAACTGGTAACTTGCATTGCTAATGAGTGCTAATTCTTCCTGGCATTAACTTTGGAAAATTATAAACTATTGTCTCTTCATGAGCTTTAGTTGCCTAATTCATAAAACAAGACGGTTGCATTATTTCCTAAAGTATCTTCCAAGGAACTTGGCCTGCTTATGATGAAAAAAGGATTCCTTGGCAAATGAATTTAGGAAATTGTTGGTTTTTCTTGCTGCAGGACTTCGCAGACTCCTTAATAGGTTAACATGTACTGAGTCTCCAAGAGGAGAATGTCTAGTTGTATACAGCATTTTCTAAACTTATTGACCAGGAAGACCTTATTTCAAAGGAGCAGCTCATGAAGTTAGTGTGCCAGGGACATCTCTGAAATATAAATTAAATAGTCTAAGTCCTCTTCCACTTCTAACATCTTAAAATTCTGTGACATTAAATGTGTAAATGAGAGAATCTTGGCCACTTTAAATAACAATCAGAAGAGTAAAGCAAAAGCTAGCCTACAGAAAATAAAATATTGTAAGTCTGATGTAGAAGAGGAAAACAAACCAAGTTCTAACACATGTAGATCTATGTAAATGATTTTGCAGAAGAGGCAGAAAGGGAATAGTTTTAAATGTTAAGTTTCTACACTGTCCCTTATGTCATCACTAGCAAAGGTTGAACATTTATAGCTTAGCAATCCCAGTAAGGTACTGAGTCCTCATCTTTAATTTTCCTTTTTCTTTTTCTTTTTTTTTTGAGATGGAGTCTCACTCTTGTTGCCCAGGCTGGAGTGCAATGGCGCGATCTCGGCTCACTGTAACCTCCGCCTCCCAGGTTCAAGTAATTCTCCTGCCTCAGCCTCCTCCCTAGCTGGGATTATAGACGCCCACTACCATGCCCAGCTAATTTTTTTGTATTTTTAGTAGACACAGGGTTTCACTATGTTGGCCAGGCTGGTCTCGAACCCCTGACCTCAGGCAATCCACCTGCCTCGGCCTCTCAAAATTCTGGGATTACAGGCGTGAGCCAGCACGCCTGGCTCAGCTTTACTTTTCAAGCCCATCACTAACATCGTGTGGATTTGGCCAAGTTACTGTTGAGGAAATCTATGGGATTATTCCCTAGTCCTAGGCACTGGCCCCAGCCTGACTTTGCACAAATGGCTATGGTGGAGGCTAAACCTGATTTTACATAAACTAGCAACCACACACACCGCACTTGGCCCAGCCAAGTTGGCTGATCTGGGGATGAACATGTAGTCTTAGTTGGAACATTAAGCTTCCTTTCTACAATTTTTGCATTTGGGTCTAGAAAGGGAATCTGAGTGTTGGATATAACACTGGGCCACCATCAGTGGTTATGTTGCTGCAACAGGAAGAAAGCCGGATTCCAGGACAGGGGACCGAAGCTGAAATGAAAGGGAAGCATGGGCAGGAGATAGAGTATTTCAGTTTGCGATTCTGAGTCGCTGACCCCCCAGCTCTATCTCTGCTTTTCCCACAACGTGGTTGTTCAGCCCTTCTATGGATGCAACAGGTTAAACGCTCCCTTTGTTTAAGCTTGTTTAGATGAGGTTTCTTTTACTTAAAACCAAAGAACTCTGATTACAGTCACACAGTCCCTTCATACCTACTTTCTCCATTGATAAAGACGGAAGAATGAAGCCTGTCTCCCGAAAGCTGGTGGACTGAACATATGCACACATCACTGCTCTCTCTTGAAATCCCACTAAAATTATGTAGAGGGATAAAAAAAATTGGCATCTTTAAGTTATCAGAACAAAAAGAACTAACAAGACAATAGCAACAAAAGTTTTGATACTAGAAAGTAGTTGGATGAATCCTAGGGTCATGGTCTTGATTTGCCCAGGATAATACATTTTATGCCTGATGCCCTGGTAATAATTATTAATAGTATCCTCTTTCACCCTCAAAAGTGTCCCAGTCTGGCTGATAAATTGATTCATTAAGCCTAACAGTCCCAGAAGCAGGCCTAACGTACCACAGAATCTCAGAAAATTTTAGGAGCTGATGGCACCATGCCTCTTAAAATCAGGGTGAACAGAAGACCAGGTTAAGAGTATGTCTGAGTAGCAATCACGTTCCCTGAGCCCTCTTCTACTACTCTCTGCATGCAGGTAACTGTCCCTCCCCAACCAGCAGAAGCCGGGAGTGTTTATCCTTTGGAGGGTTCTACCAGAGAGACTCTGGATAGGTAGAGACTCTGGATAGGTAGACATTAGATGCAGACAGAGATGGGAGTGCGACGGTAAAAACAGGAGGATAAGTGAAAGGCTACATACTGAATGGTGAGACCTCCATTATTCTCATTCCACTCATCTTCCGGAACCCTCCAGCCAGGCTTTTATCCTCTATGGGAGACCAAGATTTTTTTTTTTTTTTTTTTTTTTTGAGACAGAGTCCCGCTCTGTTGCCTAGGCTGGAGTGCAATGGAGCGACCTCAGTTTACCGCAACCTCTGCCCCCAGGGTTCTAGTGATTCTCCTACCTCAGCCTCCTGAGTAGCTGGGATTACAGGCCCCCTCCACCATGCCCGGCTACTTTTTTTGTATTTTTAGTAGAGACAGGTTTCGCCATGTTGGCCAGCCTGGTCTGGAACTCCTGATCTCAGGTGATCCAGCCACCTTGGCCTCCCAAAGTGCTAGGATTACAGGCGTGAGCCACTGTGCCTGACCGAGATTAAGATTCTTTTCTGCCAAGCCCCCAAAAAAGACTTCAACATAGTCACAGTACGGAGTCTCCCAGTGAAATCACCTGGCCAGATCATCACCCTCTTATAAAGTCCTCTAGTCCATAAATAAGTACTTGTACACAGAGTATTATCAGCTTTTGAGTGCTCTGTTCTTAAATCTTGCAGTAGGCTTAGAAGTAACCAGTCCAGACAAGAGCAGTAGATGAAGGCTTATAGGAGACATGCCTCCAAGAAGATGAAGCTGTTAGATTACCTGATGTGTTTGAACCTTTTATGAGATTTATAAACTTTCAGCAAAGATTGGGGATGAATTAATGATAGGTTCATAGAAGTAAACATGAGACATTTATTAACTTCAGAGAAAACTAAAATTCAAACAAGAAAGGAAATGTGATCATAGAATAGATAACAGCTTTAGTCATAATAATATAAACACTGAATGCTGATATTAAAAACCTCTAATGTAACTAAATAGAATGGAGAGGAATATATATATTTGTGAGAGCATGTTAATAATAATAATAATGAACACATATTGAGCTTTTAGAACCTATACATGCTAAATGCTTTTCATAGATAAACTCAATTAATTCTTATAACAATTCTATAAAGTGGTACTATTATTATTATTTCCATTTTATAGATGAGGAAGTTGAGAAGAGAGGTCAACTAATTTGTGCAGGGTCTCACTGCCAGCAAGTTGCAAAGCTGGGATTTCAGCCTGGACATCCAGCTCCGGAGTCCATACTTAAAGCCAAAGCCACTGGACTGTTTCTTCATCCCTCCCACATAGGCCAGTTTTTCCACCTTTGGAACAGAAGCTGAGGGGGCTCACTTTTATACATGAGATCTACTAGGAGATCAAGTGAACTGAAAAATCAAGGCTGGGTGCAGTGGCTCACACCTGTAATCTTATGACTTTGGGACGCTGAGGTGGGCAGATGGCTTGAGCTCAGGAGTTCAAGACCAGTCTAGGCAACATGGCGAAACTCGGTCTACACAAAAAACACAAAAATTAGCTGGGTGTGGTGGTGTGTACTTGGGACTTCCTCAGCTTGGCCTCCTCTCAGCTACTCGGGAGGCTGAGGTGGGAGGATTGCTTAAGCCCGGGAGGCTGAGGTTGCAGTGAGCTGAGATTGTGCCACTACACTCCAGCTTGGGAGACAAAGAAAGACCCTGTCTCAAAAAAAAAAAAAAAAAAAAAGAAAGGAAAAAAAAGAAAAAGGAAAAGAAAAGAAAAATCAAGGCCTGAGAGCGATGGCTCACACCTGCAATCCCAACATTTTGGGAGGCCAAGGTGGCAGGATTGCTTGAGCCTAGGAGTTTGAGACTAGCCTGGGCAATATAGGGAGACCCTATCTCTACAAAAAATTAAAAAAATTAGCCAGGTGGGTGGTACACACCTGTAGTCCCAGCTACTCAGAGGCTATGGTGGGAGGACTGCCTGAGCCCAGGAGGTCAAGGCTGCAGTGAGCCATGATGGTGACACTGTGCCACTCCCACCTGGGTTTATAGAGCAAGACTGTGCCTCAAAAAAAAAAGAAGAAAAAAGAAAAAAGGAAAATCAAGAAATAGCAGTATAAGCATATCATCTGTAAATATGGAAATATATATATATTTGAGACAGTCTTGCTCTGTTGCCCAGGCTGGAGTGCCATGGCGTGATCTTGGCTCACTGCAGCCTCCATCTCCTGGGTTCAAGCAATTCTCCCGCCTCAGCCTCCTGAGTAGCTGGGATTACAGGCACCCAATATCACGTCTGGCTAATTTTTGTATTTTTAGTAGAGACAGGGTTTCACCATGTGGGCCATGTTTCACCATGTTGGTCAAACTCCTGACCTCAGGTGATCTGCCTGCCTCAGCCTCCCAAAGTGCTGGGATTACAGGTGTGAGTCATTGTGCCCGGCCTTTTGTATTTTTAGTAGAGTCGGGATTTCATCATGTTGGCCAGGCTGGTTTTGAACTCCTGACCTCAAGTCAGGATCCACCCACCTCAGCCTCCCAAACTGCTGGGATTATAGGTGTGAGCCACTGCGCTCAGCCGGAAGTAAATTTAAAAACCAACACAAAACAGCGAAACAGGTGGAAAATGGTTGCTGATGGGGAATAGGAACACTGAGTGAGAAATAAGCTTTGTAAAACTATTGTTTTAAAAATACAGATATTTATGCAATTTTATTTTTATTTTACATAATATTTAATTACATTATATTTTAAATTATGCCATCAATTTAATATGTAATTTAATTACATAATATTTTTATTTGGGGGGAATAAAAATTAAATTAGAAAATAAATCAACAATAAAGACAACCCAATTAAAAGATGGGCAAAGAAATTGAATAGACATTTCTCCAAAGATGATATACAAAGAGCTAAGTGCAATGGCTCATGCCTGTAATATCAGCACTTTGGGAGGCTGAGGCAGGACGATTACTTGAGCCCATGAGTTTGAGACCAGCCTAGGCAACATAGTGAGACCCCATCTCTACAAAAAATAAAAGAATTAGTGCCAGGAGCAGTGGCTCATGCCTGTAATCCCAGCACTTTGGGAGGCTGAGGTGGGTGGATCATGAGGTCAGGAGTCCGAGACCAGCCTGACCAACCTGGTAAAACCCCGTCTCTACTAAAAATACAAAAATTAGCCGGGCATGGTGGTGCATGCCTGAAATCCCAGCTACTTAAGAGGCTGAGGCAGGAGAATTGCTTGAACCTAGGAGGCGGAGGTTGCAGTGAGTCGAGATCGCACCTCTGTATTCCAGCCTGGGTGACAGAGCAAGACTCCGTCTCAAAAAAAAAAAAAATTAGCCAGGCATGGTAGCATAGTTTAGGACACTGAGGTGGAAGGATTGCTTGAGGCTAGGAGTTTGAGGCTGCAGTGAGCCATGATCATGCCACACCACTCCAGCCAGGATGACCATGAGACCCCATTTCAGAAAAAACAAAAACAAACCTAACAAGCTCAATATCTTTAGCCATGAGGGAGATGCAAAATCTAAACCTTATCACTTCATACTTGATACATGCCAGAATGTATGATGGACAATAACAAGCATTCGTGAGGATGTGGAGAATGTGGAAACCTCATGCATTGCTGGTGGGAATGTAAACTGGTGCAGTCACTTTGAAAACAGTCTGGCAGTTTCTCAAAAGTTAAACATAGAATTACCATATGACCCAACAATTCCACTCCTAGGTATATACCCAAGAGAAATGAAAACATTTACACAAAAACTTCTACACAAATGTTCATAGCAGCATTATTTAAAATAGCCAAAAAGTAGAAACATCCTATATGTCCATCAGCTGATAAACAGATAAACAAATGTGGCATACCTATACAATGGAATCTTATTCAGCTGCAAACATTAAGCTCTGATATATGCTACACCATGGATGAGCTAGGCAGGGTGTGGTGGCTCACGCCTATAATCTCAGCACTTTGGGAAGCAGAGGCAGAAGGATCGCTTGAGCTCAGGAGTTCAAGACCAGCCTGGGCAACATAGTGAGATATCATCTTTATAAAAAAGAAAAAAAAAAAGCCAGACATGGTGGCTCATGCCTGTAATCCTAGCACTTTGGGAGGCTGAAGGGGGTGGATCACTTGAAGTCAGGAGTTCGAGACCAACCTGGCCAACATGGTGAAACCCCATCTCTACTAAAAATGCAAAAATGTCTCGGCATGGTGGCACGTGCCTATAATGCCAGCTGCTCGGGAGGCTGAGGCAGGAGAATTGCTTGAATCTGGGAGGCAGAGGTTGCAGTGAGCTGAGATCACGCCATTGCACTCCAGCTTGGGGGACAAGAGTGAAACTCTGTCTCCAAAAAAAAAAAAGAAAAAAAATTTTTAAAGAAAGAAAACATGGATGAGCCTTAACCACGATACTAAATGAGTAGAAGGAGGCAGACACAGAAGGCTGCATATTGTATGACTCATTTATATGAAATGTCTAGAATAGGCAAATCCATAGTGAGAAGGTAGATTAGTGATTGCTAGGGGCTTGGGGGAGAGGAGAATGGGGGCGTGGAGTATGGAGTTTCTTTTGGGGGGCAATGAAAATGTTGTGGAATTAGATATTGATGATAGTTGCATAACTTTATGAATATGCTAAAAATGCAGAATTATATACTTTGAAAGGGTGAATTTTATGCTATATAAATTATATCTCAATTTAAGAAACTGTGACAAGAAATACAAGGTAAGGGGAAGAGCGGGCTCTGGTGCTACTGATGAGGACAGCACACTCATTTTACCTCCTTTGGGTCAGCAGCAGCAGCCTTGCAGAAGGCCGGCCCCATCTGCCTGGGCCTGGCTTTGACTTTCTGCTGTTCATCAACTTCTCTCAGCTTGGGTCTGTCCCCAGCCTAGTACTGCACCTTTTCCGACACCCTTTTGGCCCTGCTCTCTGAGGACCCTGACTCAAATCCTGGGACAAATAAGCCCCTGAAATCTCTAGGAGTAACTCTTGTAATTAAAAAGGCAGAGCATCTTATACAAACTATTTCTTTTTTTTTTTGAGATGGAGTCTGGCTCTGCCGCCCAGGATGGGGTACAGTGGCCGGATCTCAGCTCACTGCAAGCTCCGCCTCCCAGGTTTACGCCATTCTCTTGCCTCAGCCTCCCGAGTAGCTGGGACTACAGGCGCCCGCCACCTCGCCCAGCTAGTTTTTTGTATTTTTAGTAGAGACGGGGTTTCACCAGGTTAGCCAGGATGGTCTCAATCTCCTGACCTCGTGATCCGCCCGTCTCAGCCTCCCAAAGTGCTGGGGGCCTAAACTATTTATTTTCTTAACCAGGGTTTGCCTTCTCTCTCACAGAGAAGTAGGAGAGTAATCTCCAGTATTAATGGTGAACCCACCATTCATAAATAACCTTATTAGGAAGAGGCTTCGGCCATCAGAGTCCAATACCGAGCTCACGTGACTAAAAATCATTCCTGTGTGGAGGCCTGAGTTTGCCTCAGAACTTAAACCAGCCATCAACTAATAATTAATCCCTGGGAAGCTAAGGCAGGAGGACTGCTTGAGCCTAGGAGTTTCAGGCTGCAGTGAGCTCTGATCATGACACTGCACTCTAGCCTGGGTGACAGAGCAAGACATCCATCTCTTTAAAAAAAATTAATCCTGGCAGGGCGCAGTAGTTCACGCCTGTAATCTTGGCATTTTGAAAGGCAGAGGTGGGCAAATTGCTTGAGGTCAGGAGTTCGAGACTAGCCTGGCCAATATGGCAAAACCCATCTCTCCAAAAAAAAAAAATACAAAAAATTAGCTGAGCATGGTGGAATGCACCTGTAATCCCAGCTAGTCGAGAGGCTGAGGCACAAGAATCGCTTGAACCCAGGAGGCAGAGGCAGCAGTGAGCTGAGATTGAGCCACTGTACTCCAGCCTGGGTGACAGAGCAAGACTCTGTCTCAAAAAAAAAAAACCTCCCAAATTCTTTCCCTGAAGATGCTTCCAGGCTTTGCTTATTTTTGAAGAAACAATCTGATGTTAAGACTTTTCATCGTTTTGAAGGAATTAATTCTAAAGCTGAATACTGATCTCCCAGTAGACAGAGCAGAGAATAGATTATTCTTTCGTCATCTAAAATTAGGGATTACAAGGAAGAAAAGCTGCTCTGGGAATTATCTTTTAATACTAAAAAGCAAGGGAAAGAGTTTCAATATAAAATGCTGGCATACTTAGCCACTATAAATCCATGTGCAAAGTTCTCAAATATTTCATAGTTCTTCTAAGAAGTCAACTTTCAATAAACTATGTAGAGGGCTGCAGCAGTAGTTACCTTGATAAATCAACTCCCCAATCACTCATTTTTTTAAGATCAACTTTTTTTTTCCAATTGTATATATATTCAATTCTCGCTATTTGTGGTAGTTATGGTTTACAAAGTTGCTGTGAGTGCTGCATTAGCAGATATTGAACCACTGCTCCTAGGGGAAATGTAAGATTAGGGTCCTCAGAGCCTTTGGTCACACCAAATCACTCATCTTTTTTTTTTTTTTTTTTTTCTTTGAGATGGAGTCTTGCTCTTGTCACCCAGGCTGGAGTGCAATGGTGAGATCTAGGCTCACTGCAACCTCCGCCTCCCAGGTTCAAGTGATTCTCCAGCCTTAGCCTCCCCAGGAGCTGCGACTACAGGCGCCCACCACCATGCCTGGCTAATTTTTGTATTTTTAGTGAAGATGGGGTTTCACTATGTTGGCCAGGCCGGTCTTGAACTCCTGAGCTCAAGCAATCTCGTGCCTCAGCCTCTTAAGTAGCTGAGACTATGGGCATGTGCCAACACACTCTGCTTTGTTTTTGTTTTTGAAGCAGGCAACTACCTTGCTTGGTTCAGGGGTTAGCGTGAAAAGCAGGCAAAGAGAATTGGGAAATCTTCTCTTTGGATCTTTCCCTTCCAAATTGCCTCTCTTCCTCCTGCAGCTGTGGTTTCCCCAGACTTGGTCTCCTGGTTCCTCAGGCCAGAAAAGCTGTGATCCCTCTGCCAGTGCCCCTACTATATCGCATGCCTTGCCAAGTATACTTGTCCCTAGGTTAAAACAAGCAAATGGAACTCATCGTGTGCATCACCTCTCCTCTAAGCATGAACTCCCCATCAGAACTGGCCTGCTTCTAAGCCCTCTCCGGGGATTTCAGGTAGCTCACCAAAGTGCTGGGATTACAGGCGTGAGTCACTGCACCTGGCGAAAATAAGTTTTTCAATAACAAAGTGAATGCAGGGCCAGGCACAGTGGCTCCGTTGAGGTCAGGAGTTCAAGAACAACTTGGCCAACATTGTGAAACCCCGTCCCTACTAAAAATACAAAAATTAGCAGAGCGTGATGGTGCGAATCTGTAATCCCAGCTACTCAGGAGGCTGAAGCATGAGAATTGCTTGAACCCAGGAGGTGGAGGTTGCAGTGAGCCAAGATCACACTACTGCACTCCAGCCTGGGCACCAGAGTGAGACTCTCTCAAAAAAAGAAAGTGAATGCAGTATTTCCCTTCAATGTGGATATTGTGTTGACTGTACAAAACTCTGGCTACGTTCAAATGGGAAAGAGGTAAAAACTGCCTCATGAGTTAGGGGCATTGTAGTTTCCCCTTTCTGATCCCATTCTATCTCCTGAACCCCTACCTCCTTTTCCAGCTGCCACAACCACAGAGGCCCTTGGCTGACGCATCCTCAAGCAACAGAGAATTCACTGAAACCTGGTATTATCTTTTGGCACTCTATAGCTTGAGAGACAGTGATTAGAAGGGGGAAAAACATAGAACTTCATCAACAGTGTGGCATTTTCACTTCAGCTGTTCCTGGGGGCAAAACAGAGCTATAAAGAGAAATTCCAGATTGAAAGCTTTGTGGTTATCTCTGCTTCTCATTAAAGTGCCCCTGATTATAATCACACCTACGATTACAAGATTTAACACACCTGGTCTCAAGGATGTACTAGGAAGAGGAATCATCTGTTCATCCCTTCCCATTTCCTTTTCTTTATTCACTAAGCACAACTTACACGTTTCAGTGAGTGCAGACTAGAGACGGTTTGGAGAACAGGCGGAGGTTTTTCATTCACATGGGTTTTGAAAGTGACAAAAATCTTCCATGGCCACAAATTATTTTAGTACTGGTGAGACAAGTGGTGTTGGTTTCATTGGCTACACACAGATGTGAGAAATCTGGATAGAGTTTCTATTTCTTCTCTGACTTTGCTAACCAGACATTTTCCTCTGCTACACACACACACACACAGACACACACACTCGCTCTGTCTCTCGCTTGCTCTCTCGCTTGCTCTCACTTTTACTCTCTCACTCAGTAAGGGTGTGTGCACTTACAGAGTCTCTCTCTGACGCCCAGACTGAAGTGCAGTGGCGTGATCTTGGCTCACTGCAACCTCCGCCTCCCAGGTTCAAGTGATTCTCCTGCCTCAGCCTCCTGACTAGCTGGGATTACAGGCACATGCCACCATGCCTGGCTACTTTTTTGTATTTTTAGTAGAGGCAGAGTTTTGCCAGGTAGGCCAGGCTTGTCTTGAACTCTTGGGCTCAAATGATCCACCCACCTCAGCCTCCCAAAGTGCTGGGATTACAGGCGGTGAGCCACTGCACCCAACCAACTTGTATTTTCAAATACATTTTTGCTTTGAAATAATTTTAGATTTACACAAAAGTTGCAAAGATAGTACAAAGTCCCTGTATACCCCTCATCCATTCCCCTACTGTTAACAACTTACTTAACATCTTCGCCAAGAATTTTGTAGATCTTAACAGTGGATGAAAAACACTGATTCTTCTTAACTCCCTCTCATACAGTGGATTCTCAATAAGAGCAGTGTGTGTTATTGTCCCTATAGCAATTTATTTAATTATATGCATTACTGAGCTATAATCTATATGTCCCCCATCCCCATCGAGGTCCTAGGTAAAACCCTGGATCCACCATCCTTCCAGGTGAGTACTCCAAGTTAATGAGCAAGTCTTTCCCTACAGAAGTTTTTTGTTTGTTTTTGTTTGTTTTTTGAGAAGGAGACTCACTCTGTCACCCAGGCTGGAGTGCAGTGGTGCGATCTGGGCTCACTGCAACCTCTGCCTCCCAGGTTCAAGTGATTCTCCTGCTTCAGCCTCCTGAGTAGCTGGGATTACAGGCGCCCACCACCATGCCCGGCTAATTTTTGTACTTTGAGTAGAGACGGGGTTTCACCATGTTGGCCAGGCTGATCTCGAACTCCTGACCTCAGGTGATCCATCCGCCTCAGCCTCCCAAAGTACTGAGATTACAGGTGTGAGCCACTGTGCCCAGCTACATAAGTTTTTATGAGTCAGCCAACCCATATTCCTTTGTATCACTATTAGTTGCCACCCCAATACCCATTTCCTGCCAAAATTCAATTTCATTCAGAGTAGCAATGTGCCAACTAAATACATTGTCAGGCTCCTCTGCAGCTAGAAACAATTGTGTGACACAGTTTTGGCCAATGAAATAGAAATTCTCCTGGGGGGTTCTGGGAAACTGTCCTAGTTCCCCAAAATAAGAAACAAAAGCACTTACGGCTGTCCTTCTCTTATTTTCTTTCTTACTCATTTAAATCATTCACAATGGCCAGAGCTGCAGCAGCTATCTTGTAGCCATGAGGCAAAGGCCACAAGGATTATAGAAATGTTGATCCTGTTGATACTGAGCTGCTAAACAGACACCACCTACTTACATTTCTTGTGATGTGAGAAAAATCTTTACTTGTTTAGGACATCGTAGTTGAAGTTTTTCTAATTTGTAGTTGAACAGGCTCATAGCAGATAAGTTCATTCAATCCAAACCTTCACCTACACAAGGTGGAGGAGAAGGGGGAGAAATGCAGCTGAGGGTAAAGCACTATTCCCAAAGCACTGGGAAATCCAACGGCCTCGCTAATGAGCTGCAACAACAGCAAGTCGCTATGTAAAGAGAAAAGGTGGCTATGTAGGAAAGGAAGGGGATAACTTACCGAGTCCATGCCTGTACAAAAATGGCATCAGAAACTCCATATGGTAACATTCTAGGATGAATAAAGCCCATGTGTGTGACAAAACAATCACTTTTTTTTTTTTTTTGAGACAGAGTTTCACTCTTGTTGTCCAGGCTGGAGTACAATGGCGCCATCTCGGCTCACTGCAACCTCCGCCTCCCAGGTTCAAGCAATTCTCCTGTTTCAGCCTCCTGAGTAGCTGGGATTACAGGCATGCACCACCACACCCGGCTAATTTTGTATTTTTAGTAGAGACGGGGTTTCTCCATGTTGGTCAGCTGGTCTCGAACTCCTGACTTCAGGTGATCCGCCTGCCTCAGCCTCCCAAAGTGCTGGGATTATAGGCATGAGTCACGAAGCCCGGCCTAAAAGAATCACTTTTATAATGGCTTCACTGACACTTGGTTAAATACCGATGTGTTAGCCACAGATGAGCATTGTGGATACTGGGTGGTGAATTATTAATGCAAATTTTCCATAGGAAGTCAACTGGGAATGTGTTTCCATATTATACTGACATGTAAAAGTATATATGTAAATATATACTTTCTTCCTGTATTGGCCATACACTGCGGAGAAATCCAGCCAAACCCTCTCGAAGGAGGAAGAAAATTTAATTTATGCAGCAACTAACATGTCATGGATTGAACTCAGCTAGAAAGGAAACATCTTCAATGAGGCCCTTTAGTAATTTAGAATGAACAATTAAATGAGTCAGGAAGGCAAGTCACTGAAGTTCACACTGCAGAGGCAGGGTGAATGTGTTCTAGCTAGCTCACCTTGGAACAATGAGGACAATGCCAGGATTCAGGCCCTCAATCTATAACCTTGTGCTCTGGTTTTTCTCCAGCAGTTAGTATATAGTTTGGTCAATGTTACTGAGGTAATACAGACATACACTGAAGATACAAACAAGGATTTTTTCCTGCTACAAAATCCCTGTTGACGGACTCATTTGGATGAATCCATCGACGGAAGAGGTTTGAGGCCTTCCCTGGTAAAAGGAAAATTGAGAAATAGACAAATAAAAGAGGTGGAGAAATTGCAAAGGGCAAGAGACTGACTGACCTCAGTAGCTTTCTGGCTGAGTCCCCGAAGCAGCAGCACAACCACATGTATGGCAGCTCTGCGTACTTGAACTTCACTGTCTGTTTTGGCCACAGCAATCAGGCAAGCTGTTACCTAGGAGGATGAAGGAAGATGAAGTTGATAAGAATCAGAGTTGCACAATTACCTATAACCTTTCAACTGTGTTCCACTTACTATACATTCATCAAGAGCAATCTGGCTTAGAAAGGGCTGGACAGTTGCTTAATCCTCAACAAAGAGGGTGAGATCTAGTGGGAGAGATCTTGATGCAGTCTGGCTTTTCTGGTAGAGGACAAAATCTGGTTTGGAATTTAAGAACGAGATTATAGAGTGGGAAGGAATAAGTGTACTGTATATTATATGTGTTTTTTAAAAGGTAAGGTCAAATGCTAGTATTTCCACAAAAGTGGGGAAGAACTGTTCCTTGTCCCCCTTTAAGAACATCAAATCAAAGGAAAAAAGACAGTCCAAACCACAGCTGCTTCTAGAGAAGGAGGATCATGGGGATTTAGCTAAGGAGACTTCAGAGTTCACAGTCTGGCATGAATGTGAATGTACCACTGATGAAAGTTTCAGCCTAGGGATACAGAAATACAGATATATTCTAACTGATCTTCTTCAGCATGTCCAGACATTCCAGTCCTACAAATGTAGTGTATACCCGATGTGAGTCAGCAGGGGTCACTTTCAGAGACTTCCTGAATATGGAATAGGGCTTTCTGTGCTCAATTACTTTATGTATTTTTTCTGTTTTGTTTTGAGACAGGGTCTCACTCTGTCACCCAGGCTGGAGTGCAGGGGTGCAAGTGACCCTCCCACCTCAGCCTCCCAAGTAGCTAAGACTACAGGTGTGCACCACCATGCCTGGCTAATTTGATTATTTTTTGTAGAGATGAGGTTTTACCATGTTGCCCAGCTGGTCTTGAACTCCTGGGCTTATGCAATCCTCTTGCCTTGCCCTCCCAAGGTGCTAGGATTACAGGTGTGAGCCACCATGTCAAGCCTGTGCTCAGTTACTTTTTTTTTTTTTTGAGATGGAGTCTTGCTCTGTCGCCCAGGCTGGAGTGCAGTGGTGCAATCTCAGCTCACTGCAACCTCTGCTTCCTAGGTTCAGGTGATTCTCCTGAGTAGCTGGGACTACAGGTGCACATAACCATGCCTCACTATTTTTTTTTGAGACAAGAGTCTCACTGTGCCACCCAGGCTGGAGTGCAGTGGCACGATCTTGGCTCACTGCAAGCTCCGCCTCCCGGGTTCCCGCCATTCTGTTGCCTCAGTCTCCCGAGTAGCTGGGACTACAGGCACCCACCACCACGCCTGGCTAATTTTTTGTATTTTTAGTAGAGATGGGGTTTTACTGTGTTAGCCAGGATGGTCTCCATCTCCTGACCTCGTGATCTGCCTGCCTCAGCCTCCCAAAGTGCTAGGATTACAGGCGTGAGCCACTGTGCCTGGCCCACCTAAATTTTTGTATTTTTAGTAGAGATAGAGTTTCGCTATGTTGGCCAGGTTGGTCTCGAACTCCTGACTTCAGGTGATCTGCCCGCCTTGGCCTCCCAAAGTGCTGGGATTACAGGCATGAGTTACTGTGCCCGGCCAGTGCTCAATTACTTTAAAAGACCATACTATCACAGGAAAGAAAGACTGGAAATTACTTGCAAAATAGATACATAGTTAATTATGTCATAAAATCAAACAGTTGAATGTAATAGCCACTGTACCCCTCCCTGGCTCCTGGTAGGCAGAAAAATGTTTGAAAATCTCAATGAAGCGATACAATTAATAATAATGACAACAAACCTTTCTGAGGCATTCATGTAAGATTTAAAAAGAGAAAAAAAAATTTTTTCAAAGTGCGACCAATGGCAGCAACAATCTGAAGGTATGTCTAACTTATTCAACTGGTCTCTCATATACTTTTATTTATTCATTTATTTATTTGAGACAGGATCTCGCTCTGTCATCCAGGCTGGAGTGCAGTGGTGCAATCTTGGCTCATTGCAACCTCCGCCTCCTGGGTTCAAGTGATTCTGGTGCCTCAGTCTCCTGAGTGGCTAGGACTACAGGCACGTGCCACCATGCCTGGTTAATTTTTTGTATTTTTTGGCAGAGGCAGGGTTTCACCATGTTGGCCAGGTTGGTCTCGAACTCCTGACCTCAAGTGATCTGCCTGCCTCAGCTTCCCAAAGTGCTGGGATTACAGATGTGAGCCACCGCGCCTGGCCTCTCATATACTTTTGTCGTTGGACTTACTGTGTGAGTATATTTCTTGGCCAGTAGTGGAAGGATATCTAATTATGATAGGAAAATAGCCAGACTGTGTTTAGAAACACGTACAAATACATATTATGTTTAAAGAATGGTGAATATGAGAACAAGTGAGGAAACAGGCTTGTGCAGAAATTTTAACTATACAGGTTGTATTTTTCACAGCTTTCAAACAGTTGGGCATAGTTCAAAGTATCTAATTAATCAGTGATGGCAGAGAGATTAGAAGAACTAGCTCGTTCTTAAGTATAATTGCGTCTGTGACGCACTGGCATTTAATCAAGTTGTGCATCTATTAGACAAACATGCAGCTTGCAAGTGAAGGAAAATCCCAGAGGAGTTCAACCCTTTGGGGACTGCTTTCAGTAAGACCCAGCAAGCTGTTCTGCCTTTGACTTGGGATGCCCAACCCTAAGGCCAGCAGTGGCTTCCATGCCTCTGGCATTAACAGTAGAAGCAATTCAGTCCTAAGAGGAATTCCTTGGGCAACCTCCAAACAGGCAACAATGTAATAGCTACCTCCACTTTCAGGCTTAGTATTTACAAGGTAAGAGCTGAAACCAGAGAAACAAGTTAGAGCTAGGTCTGAGTCCCTCTTGACACAGGGAAGTGAAATCTGGTCTGATGGCTAAATTATGGAAGCCAGCCCAAGGCCATGGACCGAGCAGAGGGTCTTAGGCGTTCTGCTTGCTCCCCTCTACATTTAGCTTTGGGTCCCTGCTTCCATGTTTGGCAGACCAAGGCTCCCTGCCTAGAACCATGTTGGTGTCTGCCTTTGTCACCTCTGTTCTGCCTCTCTCTGCTGAGCGGGTCATGCTTCCGCCTCAGGTCTCAGTGTAAGGCCGGCTCTCACAGTTGGGCATTTGGGCATTAATCCCACAGTCGAGATGTCCAGGCAGAAGCATCCTGCCTGGAAAAAGGCTTTTCCTTCAAGGGCAATTCTTTTTGTTGAGATGGAATCTCGCTCTGTTGCCTAGGCTGGAGTGCAGTAGAGTGATCTCAGCTCACAGCAACCTCTGCTTCCAGGGTTCAAGCAATCCTCCCACCTCAGCCTCCCTAGTAGCTGGGACTACAGGCATGCACCACCATGCCCAGCCTTCTTCTTCTTCTTTTTATTTTTTTGGAGACAAGGTCTCGCTGTGTCACCCAGGCTGGAATGCAGTGGCATGATCTCAGCTCACTGCAGCCTTCACCTCCCAGGCTCTGGCGCTCCTCCCACCTCAGCCTCCTGAGTAGCTGGGACTGCAGGCGCCCACCACTACACATGGCTAATTTGTGTAGATTCTGTAGAGATGGAGTTTTGCCATGTTGCCCAGGCTGGTCTCAAACTCCCCAACTCAAGTGATCTGCCTGCCTCGGCTTCCCAAAGTGCTGGGATTCCAGGCATGAACCACTGCACCCCAGTCAAGGCCAATTCTTGAATCCCTGTGCCACCTTGAAGGTATGACTGAGAGAGGAGCTGGTCATGACAAGCCTTGCTGAGATCAGCTGAAATAGCCTCCTGCTTGCTATGGGCTATTAGTGACTTATGCACCAGACTCCACCAAATCCATCTGTAGTGAGCCATCCAGGACAATCAGGAAGAGGCCCAAGAACTGAAGAGCATTTGGGAAACTTCCTCAACCCCTCTGTCACCAGGACCAAATCATGTGAAATGTATAATGGTCTGTCACATAAAATGTTTTTTGAGCATCAGAATTTCAATATGGTCTTACGGATATCATCTAAAGATTAGAACAGCCTTCTGTTCAGGTCAGGCACCCATAACCAGCTTATAATGCTGCTCTCCAGCAGACCAGAGAGACAGACCCTTTGTCCAACACTAGAAGTGGGGAGGATGTAGGCCACTCTCTTCTATGTATCCAGGCTGGAAAAGTCACTTCAAGGCTAGTCTCTCACCTCTTAACTCCAACAACATAATGAACACTGAGTTCTACCTCTAAAAACCTTGGTGAGATAGATAGATGATGTAAGGTCTTTACTCATTTATGAATTGATGTATTATTTCTATTCTCTAAGTTCTCTCAGAGGGCAGAAATCCATTCTTTTTTTTTTTTTTTTTTTTTTTGAGACGGAGTTTCGTTCTTGTTGCCCAGGCTGGAGTGCAATCGCGCGATCTCAGCTTACCGCAACCTTTGCTTCCCGGGTTCAAGCGATTCTTGTCTCAGTCTCCTGAGTAGCTACATGCGCCTGCCACCACACCTGGCTAATTTTTGTGTTTTTAGTAGAGATAGGGTTTTGCCATGTTGGCCAGGCTCTCAAACTCCTGACCTCAAATGATTGCCCACCTTGGCTTCCCAAAGTGCTGGGATTACAGGCGTGAGTCACTGTGCCCAGCCAGAAATTCATCCTTTTGTCACCTGCTTTGAGTAAAGCATACTATGGAAGGCTTTCTCTTCACTGGTGAAATCAGTAAATTGCATCCACTTCTAAAAACCATCCAGAGAGAAACATGCTGATTGCTTTGGAAGCATTAAAGGTCAGTTTCAGCAATTTAACACTTAACAGGAGCCAAGAGAAATAAGGAAAAACACTCCCAAAACAGCTGGCACACACCAGGCATAACCAGAACTATATAAATAAAGATAGTACAAATGGCAAGATTACCAAAAACTGACTTTGGAAAATTCCAGGCGAGAAGTTGCCAGAATTGAGGTACGTATCAAGGAAGCATGACTTTAATTTTCCAACTGCATCTTCATCCATTTTGCTAAAGCTTCCTTTGTTAAAACTCAGTTGGTTTGCTAACTTGTCTGCAACTTTACCATCTGTAAACCAAGAAACCTTAACAGCAAAGACAGTGTGACCAACCATTCTCAGGAGCT